TGTGATCAGATGGAGGCCACAGCCTGGAGCCTCTGGCCCTTCTCTAGACAGAACCAGAGGCTCTAACTACTCTGAAGGTGAGGAAGGACATTTGTTTTTTGTGTGTTTAACATGGAGAATTTTTCTACCAGGTCTGGGGGTTCTTGAGATACAGAGGTCAGCTTTGCCTGGAGCCCAGCAAGTCAGGGCTGATGTAGATACTGATGAATTTAAGTAAGATTGGAAACTGGCAAAAATAATTAATACACATAAGGATTTCACAAGTTCCGTCCCTCTGTTCAGATCTGCTCAGACTCATGGTCTCTCTCATCCTCTCTCATTTTTCTCTCATTTTCTCTCTCTCCTCCCTAGAAGGGCTAATTAATAATTCATTGTACAATGGTATATTCCAATGACTGAGAATATAACAATTTAATTGATATTTGTTTCCACGGCCGCACAACAATACATCATTTTCCCAGGAGGGTGATTTTCCATGGCTGTTCCAGGCTTCCCACAATAAAACAGATCCACCCTGGGCACACCTGAAGCCCATTTGTTAAGAAAGAAAAATGGTTGGTAATGAGCTCATAACAGACATAACAACAATCACTGTGTTTTAAACACCAACATTTATTTAGGGTTTTGTGAACTCATACATTCTTAGTATAGATTCTATTTTATATCAGTATGTAATAGGCAAATATATAATACAGTAAATTGCATTTGTACACATAAATACAAAATTTGAGGTAGGGCCTCAAGAGTAATGACTTCTTTGATGAATAATGCACAGTATATAATATGTACTCTATATGACATTATATATATATATGATGCATCACTTTGTAACATATTTTTTTCATGTACAAGTTGATGAAAAAATATAAGGACCTGATTAGGGGATGTGTCTTTTTTCATGGGCAACAGTACCACACGAGATGCTTGCATTTAAGATGTTACCCAAGTATACAATTTAAGACTTAGCCTATTCCTTGATAGGTCCATAATAAATAAAGTGCAAAAGAAGACCAACGAATGAGAGGCAAAATAGCTCCTCGCTGACTTCTAAGTAGAGCCCAGTTGACAAATACACCTGTAAAGCCGCCAGTCACCTGGAAGTGTACTTCATCCAAGGCAGCAAATCCAACTTGTTTTTCAGGGGTAACGAACACCCAGTCTGAAAGTGCCTTTCTCTACAGGCCGTTCAGAGCAACCTGAGCCAAGACCACATTTCATATTGGCCTTTCTAGACAACCAAAGCAAAAGCAGGAACAGGCAGGAAGTCTCACTTCCCAAACCCCAGAGCACTGCAGGAAGTGAGAGAAAGACCACAACGGAATCCGTGCCCTCACTCACAGCTGGGCAGTGCTGCTGCACCCGCTGTAAAGCAGGAAACTCGGGCTTGCTGGCCTGGCCTCCCATTCCTCCATACTCAGCTGTGCAGAATGCATCACCTCACTGCCTCAGAGAAGCCTGCCACAAACCCAAATCCAGATACCACCAGCACAACGACCCATCCAGCCGCAGTCACTGAGCTAGCCTCCAGAAGGAGGGCCAACGAAAGAAAACTCAGTTTAAGGCATGGGAGGCCCATGCTGACAGACAGCAGCTGAGCAGCACAGAGGTACAGGTAGGTAACAGTATAGAAATACACCTTGACCCCAGAGCTACCAGCAGAGACCAGCCACACCTCATCCAACCAAAGATCTGGTGTTCAGCTCTTTCTAAAGTGCTACTCACGGAAGCCAAGTACAGTTCTCACATATTAAAAGCACGCTGAGAGTTTCAAAGATGTTGAGGTCATCAGGATTTTGCATTGACCACAGATTTCATGCAATAAAGAACTATCCGGGGGGGGAGGGCAGCAACTACAGAAGACCCAGATTGGAAACACTTGTTCACAATAAACATGGCCCTAAGGAGATTAAAAGTTTCTAGTGTGCAGGACAAAAGGACAAACGTGTGCATAAGAAGCCACAACACGGGCAGTTAAGATACATACATTGCCTTTTCTTTAAGGATATTATGGGGTTACTGTTTTTCACATATGGCTTGTTCTTCTCTGAATGGGTTTCTGGCATTTGTGGGTGTTATAAAATAATCTCACACAGGGAGAACTCCCCACTACTATGAAGAGGGAGTCAATCAAAGTCCTTCCTAAGTGACTCAGGTCCTTTTTATTTCCATTTCAAGGGGAGAGCTCGGGTGGCGGTCCATGGCGGCGGGATTCATTTACTTTTTATTCATTGTTTTCTTCCAATTGACTGTGTCTTTTAATAGCAGGGAAACAATTCATTTGGACGTCTATCTCAGCTCTTAGTGTCCCAACCAAGTCCTCAGTAGGCAAACCACCGAGATACACCATGCAGAGATGGCTCAGACACAGCTTTCCTGCCAGGGAGAGCCTTGAAGTTGAACATGTTGATAAAGATTGACAAAACTAAGCATAACAGGTAGCCATTTCCAGGTAAGTTCAGAACCTTTCCTCTGAGCTTGTCTCTCTAGCAAATTGTATATGAAACTTGATAAATGTGTGGAAAACAAAGCAACAACAACGAGAAACGGCTACTCAGGGAGCTGCTGCGGGGTCTCTCCTACATCCGAGAAACACCCGTAGCTGCCCCCGTTAGGGAACGCACTAGCAGATGGGGTCTCCATTCCTGACAATTCAGCCACCTTTCAGATTGCAGCTGGCGGTACCCAAGCCTTCCCTACTCCCTTTTAATCTCAGCAGCAAAACTAACAGAAACCAGGCTGGCACCCAGCACCAGCCACTGCTTCCGCCAAGCGGCAAACAGGAAGCAGGAACCCATTCATCCCATCACAAACACAAATCCCTCATGCGGTGTAGATGGAGTCTCGCTCTGTGTTTCAACATGCAAACTGGCAGAGGTACAGGAAGTTTCCAGGCCTGACTTATCTGCACCACCGGTGAAGCTTTGGTACCACTGTGTGACATCTGGGCAGCTGTGGGGCATCTCACCATACGGCTTTCTTAAGAAAACTAAGATGATGACAGCAGATAGTGTAGGTTAGCCCACAGCTCATCTCCCTGAAACCACATTTAGAGGAAGTCTGGAGTTCCACCTCTGTGACGGGAGCTCAGCAAGGCCTACTTTTGGGAGACAGGGAGGAGGGAGAACAGGGAGGAGGGAGACAGGGAGGAGGGAGGACAGGGAGGAGGGAGACAGGGAGGAGGGAGACAGGGAGGAGGGAGAACAGGGAGGAGGGAAACAGGGAGGAGGGAGAACAGGGAGGAGGGAGACAGGGAGGAGGGAGACATGGAGGAGGGAGAATAGGGAGGAGGGAGACAGGGAGGAGGGAGGACAGGGAGGAGGGAGAACAGGGAGGAGGAAGACAGGGAGGAGGGAGACAGGGAGGAGGGAGAACAGGGAGGAGGGAGACAGGGAGGAGGGAGAACAAGTACTTCAGGTAAAGACATAAAAATCTGGAGTTGAAAACCCATCCATGTTTCCTTCCCTAAAACCTGTCATGGCTACTCTGGGAAACACAAGTTCCCATTATGGTTGGCAGATGGCACTGATATTTGCCCTAGAAAAAGGAGCATTCAGTAAAATGACTTCAGATACTTTTACATAAATGAAGTCATCTCTTTAAAGTGATACATTAAAGTCTGTTATTGGGGTTTCATTGCCGTTGAGCAAGATGAAAATGTCACATCAATATACAAGATCTGAACTGAAAACTTTGCCTGAGACCCTGTAATATAAAGACAAACTAATAAGAAAATGATTGAAACGGTCTCCCCTAAAGGAAACAATTTTAGGTAGAGATAGTAATACTGTAAGAGGAAAAAATAAAAAGCCCAGACTACACTACTCTATACTCACCATCTCTACAGTGACTTATAAGATATTTATAAGGACAGGAAACACCACTACGCGTACACACTGCATGAGAACACACCACAGTTCCAAAGGTTCATATATGCATGTTTTGGGTTCGAGGTGATAAAGGTACAGTTTTACAGGTCTCTGCAGATGCATGGTGCGCTCTCGTTACAGTGCGGTTACAGTGAGCACAGGGGAGGGGGAGCTCTGAAAATTGAATCAGCTAAATAGTCTTAAAAGCTATAGTCTCAGTTGGCTCTTTCACTATGTGGCTAAGCTTCATTTATGAGAAATTTCTGGAAGGGGTTCGAGGTGATAAAGGTACAGTTTTACAGGTCTCTGCAGATGCATCGTGCGCTCTCGTTACAGTGCGGTTACAGTGAGCACAGGGGAGGGGGAGCTCTGAAAATTGAATCAGCTAAATAGTCTTAAAAGCTATAGTCTCAGTTGGCTCTTTCACTATGTGGCTAAGCTTCATTTATGAGAAATTTCTGGAAAGACAGTGACTTGAGATGAACTGACAGAGTGGTAAATGTGTGGTTGCTCAGTCCTGACCCCTTGACTTCTCTGATTACCCTATCGCCACAGTTGGCTTGGATACGAATGAAAGAGGAATAAAATTGAGGAGGGATTGAAAGAACCAACTCTCATATGTGATTGTTTTCAACACAATAACTGAGGGGACAGAATGGCCAGTCCCCCTCATAGCCACAATGTAGACAGAGTGAAACGTCCAAGTGCCTGGCACACATGGTCAAAATAAAGGAAATGTGTATGGAACCCAACCACCCCAGCGGTGCCCACATCTTCCCACCAGCCTCGTCTACAACCACAACACCAGCACTGCCATGTGACGCACCTGACCGGAGTCCAAATTAACAGCTTCGAAGTCTGCATTCTCCAAGTGCCTTACCCGAGTACAACACGATGGAGCTTCTCTACTGACCAAGCCACATACCTGCCAGCACTCACCTGGTCACGCCACCCCCAAAGGTGAGGCACCTGATCTGATCGGGGGATCAACCCTCCCAGAAACCGACAGCACAGACAAGCCACGAGCACTTCAAGTGGTCCACGTGGCTCTCGCTCTAGCATGCCATGCTAGCACCTGATCTGATCGGGGATCAACCCTCCCAGAAACCGACAGCACAGACAGGCCACGAGCACTTCAAGTGGTCCACGTGGCTCTCGCTCTAGCATGCCATGCTATGACCTGCTTTTCTACAGAACACTCCCATGCATGGCTGTGAACCGAGGTGTGGGGAAAGAGCACTGGGAACAAAGCTAAGGGAAGCGTGAGGGGGAGGCGGGGAGGAGACCGGAAGGAAGACTGGACCACCCACACCGCTGGACTAGCACTGGGTGCCCAGTTCCAAATCTTTCACTGGCAGCTTGAGTCCCAGGGACGAGGTTCCCAAAGGGTCCATCATGTTCTTGTAGCGCTCCCCACGGTGTTGAGCTAAGAATGGGCCCCAGTCTGGCTGTGGTGAGCATACCAACTTCAGCCTCTGTAAAGAAGTCAGACATTCAATGGTTACAGAAGGAATGTTCCTCCTTCCCCTGGGTACCCACACATATCCCCAAAAAGCTTAGGACCACCTCTCCAGACCCTTTTCTTAAGCTAAGAGGTGCCCCACGAGGGAAGCAATCAGGAAGATTAACCCCCATTCATTAACCGGCCAGGGATGATAAACGTGAGAGGCAATTTGGTTCATTTGAAATTATTTACATCACCCTGAAAGCAGTATTACAGTTGCACCTGTTTGCCTTACACAGGGTTAATAAAGGATAAAGGCCCCAGATTTTAATTACACCCTACACTCCCCTCCAAGTGAGGAGAATGCACAGGCTTCTGTTTCAGCTGCCAAAGTCAGCAAAAGGCGCGTGCTCAATTACTTCTGCTCTGTGGTCCCAATGGTGGGTTGCCACATCAAAATAATTGGGTTTTGTTTAGTATATTTCCCAAAAGTATATAAACGACCAAGAAAATATAACCAAAAGGTACACTGCCAAGAGTGAGTAAACAAAGACTGCAACTATCTGTTGACAAAAATCTATGCACCCTTTTGGTTCAGCGGCGTGGGCTCCTGTAGGTGAGCTCGAAAACAGTGGGTGTGTCTATAGTTCTTCAACTGAAATTTTTATGGAAAGCATAATTTGACAGGCACATCTTCTAGAAAAAGGAAATAAAACATTTCTGACTATATGAGAGTCATTATATGTTTATTATCTACTAAAATAACGCTCATTCTTTTTTAAATTTTATTATTATATGTAGGTAAGTGCACCCATGTTGTGCAATGCCCATGGAGGTCAGAAGAGGCTGTCAGAACCCCTGGAACTACAGTTACGGACAGTTGTTAGCTGCCATGTGGGTGCTGGGATTCAAACCCGTGTCTTCTGCAAGAACAACTAGCGTTCTTAACTGCTGAGCCATCTCTCCAGCCCCATGAAGCTCGTTCTTATAGCTGCTGGTTTAGTCTCCCCTTAATCATCAGCTTGCAACATCTGGGTCCCAAACCAACCATGGTAAATTTGCACAGCGACTTATCAGTCTAGAGAATTCCAGACTACGACAACAGTAGCAGACGCTACACCAGTTTCTGTTTGGGGGAAAGATTTCTAGATCTGCTAGTGGGGAGGTAGCTCTGGGGCAGGAGTGAGCTGCCCTTGGGTTGGGGGTGGGTTGGCTGGGGCCATAGTTAATTTACCTCAGGAGATAATGAACAGTATACAATCCAGATTATTACTGCAATGAAAGAGCTCCTAACCCTCCCCTGACCAATTCTGTCTCCATGTGGAGGTCAGTGAGAACCAAGGTCACCTGCCAACCAGCCCAGGTGGGTGTCTGTGTGGCTCACTGACCATGCGCTAACTCTCATCCTCCTCCTTTCCCAAGCCTCTTCCTCGTATCAATCTAGCTGCTGAGAGCAGGCCCGGTACAGTCATCCCTCCACAGTGGGCATGTGCTTCTCCACCTTGATCTAGATGCCTCTCAAACATGAACCTCAATCATTGGAAGGTGAGGCAATCTGAGGATTCCATTTCCCTGGGAGCTGAGCTCAGTGGAGTTCAAGGAACCTGATCATTTGCACTTCCAACAGGCACCCACAGCATCTCAGCACCAAACCCCAGGTAGCATTATTCTGGTCCCAAATGCCAGCTCTTCAGGGAGGGAGGCAGGACTTGCCCATCCATCCATCGTCAGCACACCTAAGCAAGTGACTTTCTTTAGATAGGGTCTCAAGCAGTCCAAGCTGGCCTCAAACTCACTATATAGCTAAGGATGACCTTGAACTCCTGATCCCCCCTCCCTCCATTTTCCAAGTTCTAGGATGACAGGTGTGCTTGAACAAGTGACTTCTCATAAGTAACAAAAGCTGGGGCATTTTGTATCTCTTGTGTGGGCGGGAGGGGGCTGCAGCCTGTGTGAACCGCCACTGAAATGCCCCAGCAAACAGGGAGCAGCCCCTTCCCATCCACCAGGATATACAAGTGAGTGTTATTTTCATGACTAGAAGAAAATGGGTCTAGAAAAAGGTCGTTTGATGTGATGGTTTCAATGAAAGTGTCCCCAAAGCCTCAAATATTTAGACAGTTGGTCCTCAGTTCACGGTGCTGTTTAGGGAGGGTCATGGACGCCTTGAGAAAATGTGACCATGCTGGAGGAGGCATGTCACTGGGGGCAGGCCTTGAGAGTTCAAAGCCTCAGTCCACTTCCAGCTTCTCATTCTGCTTCCGGTGCCTGCTTGAAGATGTGAGTACTTAGCTTTCCACTCCAGCTGCCATGCCTGCCTCACCATGATGGGCTCTAACCCCTCTGAAACTGCAAGGCCAAATAAAAATCTTCTTTCTAGAAGTGGCCTTGGTCATGGTATTTGATCACAGTCAAAGAAAAGTAACTAATACAGTTGGTAAAGAAAAGCAAGCCTTCCCTCACTCCAGCCACACCCAGGAATGTGTGCTATGACCTATGAGAATGCTCATATTTTTATCAGCTTGGCCCCTTGGTCATTCCTAACTCGGGAGGAGGGAGAAGCCGGTGTATGGTTAAAAACTAAACTCCCGGCTGGAGAGATGGCTCAGCGGTTAAGAACACTGGTTGTTCTTACAGAAGACCCGGATTTGAATCCCAGCACCCACATGGCAGCTAACAACTGCCTGACTCCAGTTCCAAGGGATCCGACAGCTTCTTCTGACCTCCATGGGCATTGCACAACACAGGTACACTTACCTACATGCAGGCAATACACTCATACACATAAAATAAAAATAATAAATACAGTATTTTTTAAAAAAACCTAAACTCCCAAGATGTCCACAGTGGCTGAGGAGGAAGGGAAGGAAGCCCAGGGAAGGAGGGGATCATTCACTCCCCAGGGCTGGCAGCTGCTGAGGGTCAGCACAATAACAGCTGCACTGAGGATTGGCTGAGCCCCTCCATTACAGGAATAACACATAATAAAATAGGTTTAATAGAATCTGTGACAATTGTAATCACTTAATCACCAAGTCTCTCTCTTGAATACGTTTACTGAATCTTTTGTTTTTAATGTGTAGAGCTTTCAGGATCTCTCCCTTGGGACAGGCTAGCAGGGGAAAAAAACAAGTAGAATTACCTCAATAAACCTTCCAGGAGCCAGATGCATTTTGATCACAAACATAACTGGGATCCAGATAACAGAACAGGCAAGCATCAGCCATCCAAGCACCATGGACCACGTAGGGTAGCGGTAGGAGCCGTAGGTCATGGGCTCCCATTGGTAGAAGCTGAAGCAAAGGATAAACTGGGCAGGAGAGAAAGGCACGTGTCAGGGCCGCAGCAGAAACTGTCCGTTCCCTCAGCAGGCACACACTGAACCGCTGGACAAGCTTAGTGCTCTCAGGCCCATTACCTCATCTTATACCCTTGTCCACCTGAGATGGGATTTTCCAAACACAGTAAATCTCAAAGAGATGAAGACAACATACCCTTATCTGCTGTCCCTATGTTTGCCATCCCAGAGAAAGCGAGCCAGCTGTGTGTGCGCGTGTGTCTACACCCAGGGAAGATGAGCTGAGGGGCGGGTGGGAGACGGAATGCTGGGCAATCTGAAGGGATTGTCTGTACTTCTCTACCATATAAAATCAAGCCTTTGTTACAATGGAAAAAGATGTATTACATTGTGTGCTTTCATTGTTTAAACTGAATCCACTTGGCTTTCTCCTTGAACACAGAATAACCCACAAATAGGATCAGCCACTAAAGCTGGCCGTGTGAGACCCAAAGTGGCCCCCAGCAGTGGCTGAGCCAGAAGCCTGATCCTGGAATAAGCCGTCACTCAAAGAGAGGGTGCACAGCTCCCCTCCACTGATGAACAGCATCATCGAGGTGAGCAGGGAGCCTGGAGACCGGTAGGCTAATCCTGGCTCTACCGCTAATGAGCCAAGAGGCCTTTTTGTCTCAGACCTCTTGGTTACAAAACTGATATATTCACCCCTTGTATAGAGCACAAGGGTTTTCAAAGAACAAAAGTCTGATATTTACTCAAAAGCCCCCCCTCAATTTTAAAAAAAGTCATGATTTGTTTTTTGTCCATTTTCTGCAATCACCTCATATTTTGGCTGGCAACAACCCAAAACTCCCTCCGAAGGCTTGGCCGAGGGAATGCACGTGCTGAAGACAGGGGCACCCGCGCAGGGAGCTGGGCTTCTGACCTGCTGGAGCTGACCTCATGAGGAGCACTTCCCAAGAAAATGATGTGACTGCCATGTTCCTGTGCCTGTGGCAACATCCATCTAGAATTACCCACACAGGTCAAGCCCCTGGCCCCACCTCTCTTCTACCTTAAGCTGTAGAGTAACTACCGGAAAATGATTACGTCAGGGGAAAATGGCAGGGGCAGTGTGTGGGACAGTCGACGCACTACGCAAACACAGGGCATCATGTCACTGCTGCAGAGCTCAGCCACTGAGGCCAGCGACTAGGACAGTGCAACAAGAATTCAATGTTGAAAACAAGGGTCCTGTGGAGAGTGGGGTCCACTTTAGCCCCCCTTTTAAGGGTTTGCCCCTGGAGTCATGTCGTAAGCTTCGTTAACCAGTCTATTGGACGTATGGTCCAATGTCATTATGGTAAGCTGCTCCGTTTCATTTGCTATATAAATAGCCCTGCATCTGCCTATGTGGGTGCATAACTCAGTAACGTGATCAGGCTATTACATAATAATAGCACGGAGGGTATTTATGGCTCTATAAATCCATGAAGGCACATACAAAAATGACGAGTTTTATTTCAGAGGCCCTGGGGTAATTTAACCCCATAATCTTCCTCTAGTCCAGAACCTTACAATATCTATACTACAGAAAATAAATGGCAAAATATGGGTGGGCCGAGTCCTTTGACACCCATTTCCACTTGCATAAACATCACATCAGACTTTTAGGCACAAACTTGTTCTTTGACACCCATTTCCTTCTGCCAAGTCTGTTTCGATAAAACTCTGCCCTTGGGTGGGTCCCCAACCATGAGAGATGGGAACTTAGATATCAAATCAGGCCCACTCAGCCTTAGGCCGACAGCCACCAAAGCAGGTCCAGGAGACTCACTGGACGATGATGATGGGACCAACTACATCCCTAGCATCCAAACTGAAGCCAATTTCTGGGGCCTCGCTGTGGCTTCTGACATGAAATCTAGTAAACTGTAATAGAATCAAGGGACTCTCTCAAAAATAAAAAACAAGCATCAAGTCCCTGGAATTCCTCCTTCCCAATTCTGAAGACTGGACTGCTCTAATCCAAACTGGCCACACTCCACTAGGGAGTGGGAACTTCGACTCTCAGAAATACAGAGGCTGGGCTTGAAGCCCACCCACAGCCTTCGAGTCCATTTTTTTGGCTCTGAAACCTTGTGGCCTTGGGCAAGCTCCTTAACCTCTCTGATCCTCAATGTACACACTGAAGAAATAGGGAGACAGCACTGGCGTGAGCATCAGGGACAAGGCTGGTTAGGGTCTGCCTAGGAGCACACCTTCACCACAGCAGCCTGAGGACGCCGTGCGATGTTTCAACAGAACAAGGCAATGTTCTCTGACACACCACTTCTGGGCCAGGAGGAAAAGGAGGGCAGAATGTAGAACAGAGTCTAACACTGACTCCACTGAGAGTAAGCCAAGCCTGGAACCAAGAGTGTGGCAAACGCTACCCTGGTCTGCCAGAAGAGGGCGCCATCTTCCCAGCCACTAGCCAAGCCCCAGCTCTCCATGTCACACACTTCAAACCTGAGCCACAGGCCTAATCCCTTTCCTAGGTCCCAATTCCGGTGGTACTGTTCAGACAAACTGTAGTCTCTAAAGTATGGGGATGGATGTAGGTGAGCTGTCGGTGTCCAAGCAGAGGACTGCTGAGTGGGTCTTCTGTCTAAAGCTCTAGCATTTCAGAAAGAAATGGAAGCTTTTTGTTAAAACACACTCTGTAGCAGAAAAAGGCAAGGGAAGAAATATGTATTTTCTTTGCAACTGGGCTTTTATCCAGCCTGTGTCCTAAGCAAAGCTGGTGTCTGGTAGTTAAGGGGAGGCTCGTTATCTGGTTTCTAGTGTCACCTGCTGGTTCAAGAGGAAATTACAGACACCTCCAGCCTTGCCAACAGGGAAACCCACAAACCAGAAGAGGAAACGGGCCTCAGACGAGGGAAAGACAAAGGTCGCCACTAACTACCATGCTCGGAGAGCAGAGTGAGACCACACCGACAGCTTTGGCCACCGGAACGAAGGTAACAAGCTGTGAACTAAAGTTCTGTTCAGATCATGGACACATGAAGGCTCTGCTCTTCTGAAAGATGAATGTCAGGTGACCTCAAAATACCATCTTCACACTTGAAGATGACAAGACAGACTTCAGAAGGAATGAAATCTCCAGCAAAAACCTGGTCAATGCTACGTTAAGCTTAGCGGAGACACACTGTGTGGTGGTTAGAACATGTTCTCCAGAGCCTGACTGCCTGCGTCTGAATCTAGGCTCTTCCTATTAGATGCTCAATGCTAGGCAAGTCACATAACCTCCAGCACTCAGTTTCCCTGGGCTGGCTGGTTTTGTCTGTACAGTACAACTAGGATCAGGAAGGACATCTTGGTGAAGACCTGCCTCTATCATGTTGGCCTGTGGGCATGTCTTTGAGGGACTGTCTGTCCACTGGGATGGCCCAGTCCACTGGGGGCAGTACCACTCCCTAGAGAGGGCATCCAGGGCTATATGTAAGTGTGGAGAGTGAGCTGCGCCCGAGTGAGCAGGTGTGCTCCCTGCTCTTGACTCCCATCACTCTCACTATCCTGCTCTGACCGACTTGCATGATGCTACTGTAAGCTGAATAAAGCCCTAAGTTGTTTTTGTCAGGGTATGCCCCTTCTACTGAACAGGAGTAATATAATACCAGCCTTGCAGGGCTGTTAATAGAGGAGGCTCTACAGACAAACCACTTTGAACAGTATCTGAAACACAGCATGTGCCCCACATGTTGGCGGCTCACTGCTATCTAGTATGTTAAGACAGATGGGCTTAGTGAGTAGGTTCCACACAGATCAAGTAGCCCCAGCTCTGCCCCTGACCAGCTAGGCACCTTTAGGCAAGTCACTTCACCTCTCTAAACCTGTCTCCTCAACCTGAAAGATAAGAGCAACACCCACACCCAGCTCCCAGGCTCCTGAAGAGGCACATGCACGTTCAAAGATAATGCATGGAGTGCGCGCAGTGTCCCTAGAGAAAGCATGAAGTCCTTACAGTTAAAATGGTCGGCGTGACGAATGCCCAGCAGACTTTCCAGAAGATGTTGGGCTGGAATCCGATCATCATCTCGATGTCTTCACAGAACCTCTGCAAACCTGAGAACAGACAGCAGAGGCCACGTGAGGCGAGGAGGGACAGGCCCTGGAGCCCCTCATTCAAGCACCCTTAGCTGGGAAAGGCCTCAGCTGGTACCAACGTGACAGATGACACTCTGACAGGAAGATTGGGGCAAACTGAACACTGAACAGACACTAAGGCCTCTCTGCAGCAAGGTTCAAAATCATCAGCTGAGGCTGCAGAGATGGCTCAGTGGTTAAGAGCAGTGGCCACTCTTGCAGAGGACCTAGGTTCAGCTCCCAGTACCCACATGGTGGCTAGTAACCATCCATAACTCCAGTTCCAGGGGATCCAACACCCTCTTCTGACCTCTGCAGTCACTGCATGACATGGGAATGTTTACATACTTGCAAACACTTATTAAAAAAAAAAAAAGTTAAAAACCCTGTCAGCTGTGGGGACCTCTCCCAAGCTCAGCTCCAGGTGTCTAGGCACCGCTATGTGTGTGTAAGTGACCGCTTTGTGACATAGTTCTGCATGCCTGGTGACAAGTCTGGCAGAAAGATTGTGGTCAGTAGACTGCATTGTGAATGGCCCAGGGTTTAGAACGAGAGTCTCTGTCTCCCATCCTCCCAAGAACATCTCCAGCAAGTCCGTTTATCTCTGCTTGGCATAGAATGGCAGTCACAGGCAAAAACCAATGGAAATTCCAGGTGGCCCCCACCTCAATGGAGCTGAGGGGCGGCTGTCTCTTGATCACTCAGTGCTGCCTTATTCTCAATTATTTTAAGCTGTTTGCTCTTCCTGAGTAGCTGCTAGCCATTCCATGAACGTTCCAACCTCTCTCTGCACAGTGCAAACAGTAAGCACTTAATAAACCCTGTCCATTTGCGCATGGAGTTACAGAAGGACTGAGGCCTCTCCTTCCTAATGTTTGCTTAGCCCCAGTGAACAGAGCTTAGAATTCTACAGCCTGAACTGGAAGGCAAGGGGTCATTTCAGCCCAAAATGAGAAAATGGGGCTTCAGTAGGGACGCCACGGAGGAAACACAGCTTGGTTTGTAGTGCTCTTGGGGAAGATTTTTCAACTGCTTCTTTTATCTTTATTGCTTGACTGTTTTGTTTTTCTTTTCAAAAAAAACTTGCTGATTTCAGTCACTGGGGTAGTCAGTAAGAACCACAGACAGATGCACTGTATCAGGTAAAAGCCAGGGCCTGGTGGGAACACTAAGATGTACAGACGGGGGCTGCTGGGGGGTAGGAAGTAAGCCCAGCAACTGACTGAAAGGGAAAGCAGGTAAAAACTGTGTCACACGGCAAGCTAAGGGGAGCCTGTGGGTCTAGGCAGGGTGTGTCCATAGCGGCTGCTCCATCACGTGGTTTCCCAACCAGAAAGCCCCTCGCTGGTCCCTGGGAAACAGTGGATCCCTTTTTCAATGTGGCTCTACTTTAGTCAAAGTCATTTAAAGGGATCACTCCAACCAGAGCTCTACTTTGTTTCTGTTTTCATCTTTGTGACATTGTTTCATGAGCCCAGGTTGGCCTTGACCTTGATATGCAGCCAAGGATGGTCTTGAACATCTGATCTTCCTATTTCCATCTCCCAAGTGCTATGATTACAGGTGTGCACTGCCACACCCAGCTGGAACACTACTTTTTTTTTTTTTTTTGTCTTTTTGAGACAGGGTCTCCCTGTAGCCCCAACTGTCCTGGAACTCACTATGTAGACCAGGCTGGCCTTGAACTCACAGGGATCCACCTGCCTCTGCCTCCCGAGTGCTGGGATTAAAGGAGTGTGCCACCACACCCAGAACTCTACTTTTAAACCCAGATAGCCTCCAATTTTGAGATCCCCCTCCTAGGCACGCTTAGGAGAGCACTCCAGCCAGCTAGTTCCATCTGATGATTAAACCCAATTATCCCCACTGCACAACAAACATCTGGATAGCTTCCTTTGTGATCTAGAGATTAGAAACAAGTAGAAAGCTCCAGTCTTGCAGCTCACTCGTTTATTTCTCAAACCGTGCATCCAGGAAGGAACCAAACCGCTCAGCTCATATTTGTTCTTCCCAGGTTCACATTCAAACACTTCACACCTCCACAGATTTCAGGCCCTCATGATCTCAATAAAGAACACTCTGAGGGCAGGAGAGATGGCTCAGCAGTTAAGAGAACTGGCTGCTCTTGCAGAGGACCCAGGTTCAGTTTCCAGCACCCACATGGTGGCTAACAACCATCTGTAACTCCAGTCTCAGGGGATCAGATGCCCTGTTCTGGCCTCTATGGGCATTGTGTGCATGAGTGCACTTATATACAAGCAAAACAAGCATACCAGTAAAATAAAGATAAATAACATTTTTAAAGAAAAGAACACTCTAGTCTCTGGGATACAATTTACATATTTGTGCAGGCTTTTCATTTCTAACAATAAACATTAACTATTTCTCCCTGGAGTGACCTCTTCTTTTAATTTTGTTTTTAGTTAGCATTCAAAATAACTCTCATTATGACATTTTGATATGTGTATATTGTGCTCTGTGCATATTCTCCCAATTACCCTCTTTTCCTTCCCCCTCCTGCTGGTCTCCAAAACTCTCCCTCCTTGTGCTGAGAGAGAAGGAGAGAGAGAGATTGATTTGCTTCTTAATTCCCCATCAGACCAATTCCAAATCCAGCCTGAGTCCGCCACAGTCTACCTGATATAATAGCATCTTTAGGGATCAAGAGACATCTTTTCCCCAGGAAAATTAGCACAGTCCTGGGGTTTATTCTTTCAAAACCAAGAAGTCTACGAACAGATTTACTTGGGGTGGGGGAGGCAATTTAACTTCTAAAAACAGAAGTACTAAAAGGTTTCTATTTTAATGATGCTCTTAAGTCTCACAGAATAGGCCTGCTTTACAGGAAAGCACTTTGAAAATGTGCCTTTTGTTGAACTAGCAGTTGAGAAACAGGTAAAGGAGATAACCATCTGTACCATAGCACATAGCCCTATCCCACAAATGCAATGCCTTCCTGGCTTTACGTACAGGTCTGGTGGCCCTAGCTTATATGTGGGCCAGGGGGCACGTTTCCATAGGAAGACCACAGAGGCCTCCTCCTTCCTTGTCTAAGTCAAGGCCTTTGGTGCCTCAGCAGAAAAACAGACCCACTGAGGCAGCTCCCACCATCCTGTGCTCAGGTGGAAAGCTCCCTGAGGCCTCCCCTACCTCTGACATCAGATCTTCAATCACACTTCACTGCAGTCTTGTCAGTCAAAAGGCTTGAGCTCCTAGTCTCTGACCTCACTGGGACAGTTGGCATACCTAACCACTTCTCCCTCTAGGAACTAAAGCCTCAGTGCAGTGGAGGTGTGATTTCTAGTCTTGGAAAAATTCCTCTTCAACTCATATCCAGAAAGTATTGTGTAGCTGAAGAGATGGCTCAGTGGTTAAGAGCACATACTGCCCTTGCAGAGGACCCGAGTTTAAGTGCCAGCACCCAAGTCAGGTGGCTCACAGCTCCCTGTAACTCCAGTTCCAGGGGACCTGACACCTTCCTCTGACCTCCTCAGGCACGGCACTCACATTCACAAACCCAAACTCACACACATACATATGATTTAAAAATAAAAATTAGGGGGCTATAAAGATGGCTCAGTGGTTTAGAGCACTGACTGCCCTTGCAGAGGACCTGGGTTTGATTCCCAGCACCCACATGGTGGCTAAGAACTGTCTGCAACTCCAGGTCCAGGGGATCCAACACCCTCTTCTGGCCTCTGTAGGCATGGCACGCATGTGGTGCACTTACATACATGCAGGCAAAACACTCGTATACATAAAATAAAAACAGACAGATAAATAAAATGATCATAACGTCTTCATGTTTCCATTTATTTATCTTATGTATATGAATCTTTTGCCTGCGTGTGTGAAGGTGCACCAGTGCGTGCAATACCTGCGGAGACCAGAAGAGGGCACCAGGCTCCCTGGAACTGGAGTTATCAATGGTTGTTAGCCACCATGTGGGTGCTGGGAACTGAACCCCGGTCCTCAGCCAGTGCTCCTAACCACTGAGCCATCTCTCCAGCCCCATCTTCCTATGTGTAGATTACCCACATTTTACATGAAATAGTTCTGTTTTACATCAATTCCTGCCTCTGTTTTATTTCTCTTCCATTTTAATTGAAATTTCCAGGAAAGCCAGAAACCGTGAAGTATCTGTTTGGTAGGAGGCTAATGACCACTTGAGAATCAAGGTGTTCACAGAGAGAAGAGAACACACAGCTGTTAGGGACAGAGCTATACAGACACCTCTGGCCAGGAGCACTTCTTCAGACTCCAGGTGGTGGGTTTGAGGACACATGCATCCTGTGTTCCAAGCACTGTCTTTTCCTTTAGAACACATTGCTATTTCTTTCGGGGTTTGAAATCCAATCAGATAATCTAACCTGGAAAGCTCCACCCTCCCAACATTTGCTGTGCGGCTGTATTTGCATTAGGGGGGCACCGTCCAGCGGCAGCTCTAAGACAGTCAGCAGCCAGCAGCACCTAGTCAGGTGGGGCTCCTTGTGCTGACAGCAGTCCTCGTGAGGGACCAGTGACAACCTTGAGGACTGATACTTTGCACAATGGGCGTCTGGTGGTTCTCTGTCCACGCAGTACTTGATAATAGCTCTACTGAAGATGGGACATGGGTTGCTATGGTGTTAAAAAGACTAAACTGTCAGGGAACTGGCAATTTCTTCCCAGGAAAGCCTGAGACTTCAATGTTGTACTGCAAGTTCTCCAAAGGCTCTGTGGTCCAGCGGTCTCTGTTCTCACAATGGTTCCCAGGGGCTGTGAAAAGCTACCCTTCACCCCAAGCACATGGGCATCGACACTGACAAGACCAAGAAATAATGTCGCACCAGCACAGCCTCCCTCCTTGTCTGGCCACCATCCATAGGCATTAACTGCCCATGCCAGGCCTTTCCCAAAGCAGAGACTTCCCGACACAGATTGCTAAGTTTCAGCATCACCTCTGGTTTCTCTATTACATTTGTGTCACAGCAGTCCTGAGTCTAGCTCAGAAACAAAGGCAGTGAGATCTTTGGCCTTTAAACATGCTTGCCAAGAACCCTTTCCCTACACCCAGGTTCCCCTCGGCAGCACTGTGCTCCCTTACCATAGACGTAGGAGATGCCAACAAGCTCAAATATGGCAATGATGACCAGGGCATAGGAGGCTGCATAGGTGTCCACAAGCTGAAACATGTAAATTCCACCCTAGTGGGAGAGAGAAACAGCCATCATCAAACCTGGCCCAGGTGAGGCTCCATCTTCCCACTTGTAAGAGCCCTTCCGCTCCCTCTTAAAAAGCAGCAGGTGTCAAAAGACACCGCCACCCCCCGCCCTTTGCAGCAGGACCTGGCTACCATGTAAACTGGAGACCTGGCCAGGTTAACAAAGCCATCCCTCAATACACTCTAAGTTAATCAATAAAACAAGCACCAAAAGAGTGATTTAACATCTTATTTTTCGAAGGCAAAGGTCAGCCTCTGAAGCTGGAACTAAGAGAGCAGCCTCTGGGCTGTGAGCTTGCTGTGAGAGGTAGCGGATCACTCCCGCCAAGGTGTCTGCACTTGATTGACCTTCATGTGCCCTTTAGCTATTGCTGGCTGTGATTTTAATTTAGAATCGCCTAAACAGGGAGCCTCAATTTAGAAATGATCTTGATTGCCTTAAATGATGTGGGAAGACCCACCCCAAATGTGGCCCCTTCTGGTAGCAGTCCAGATACAAAGGACACAAAGGCAGGACTACTATTGGCTTGGCCTTCCTCTCGCCACTGAGTTCATTTATCCTGTTGCTGCTGATTTCTTTGCTGATAATAGAACCGACCTTACCAGGCTTCCGACAGGGGCGGGAGGACCAGTATCTCTCCAGAAACCCTCCAGGTCTTCAGTACCAGATTGGGACTGCCAAGTTACCCAGGGAGCAACTGCCAGCTTCTCCACCTCCCTGGTGTGAGGCAGCCATTGCGTGACTACTGCTGAGGATCAAGGATCCTCAAGGATCAAGTAACCACAGGGTTCTCAGGCCCTCGTGTGGGACAGCTCTTGTTGGACTCTTCTGACCATATTGTGTAAGCTGATTTTGCAAATATAGATATACATATATACACACATATATATATATATATTCATTCTGTGGGTTGTTCTTCCTCAAAACACTAATACATTGGGCTTCCTTCAGGCATCCTGGCCCTCTCTCTATGTCTTGCTAAGTCTTTCTCAGTACAGATGAGGCTTAAAAACCATCTCATTCCTGTCCATCATTTTACAGATGAAGAATAAGGCCCAGAGTGACTTTGCTCAAGGTCACAGAAGTAGCAAGATCAATACACATACTAAATGAGTTAACATGCCAACACGTTCAGGACTAGAAAACACTCAAGTGACCTCAGGCTTTTGGATATAATAAATAGTAACTTGGAACCATATCTGGTTGGAAAAGCTGGATTCTTATGCGTTTTGTCTTCCTTAAGTAGGGCGCACCTGTCTTGTTGGCACAGGAAGACAACATCTCAATCATGAAGATGCTGGGGGCCTCACTAGGAGCCAAGATGACATATTTCCCTGCATGATCAGAATCATGACTGATCTTGAGCCATCTTTGGAAATGGCTGTGATATGGCTCTAGTTGTGAGGGCTGATGACTGAGGGTAAAAGGATGGACAGCCGTAGCCTCCTGCCCCCAAGTCTGGCCCCGCAGGCTCTCACCTGAGTGATCATTGGGAAGCCCATGATGAAGAAGCAGATGCAGCAGCCCAGGGTGAACACCGGCTTGTGTGTGCGCAGGTACTTGGGAAACTCATCCGAGATGGACGTCACAATGGTCTCGATGGTGGCAAACTGCAGTGAGCACAGCACCTGAGCCACCTGTGCCCCTCAGAAGCCCATAGCGCCCTTTGTGTGTGTCTCCAGGGAAGCTGTGTTTGGATTTGGTCGGGTTTGGGGTATGGCAGTCATTTGATGGGTCTGGGTGACCTTGTTGGGGTCCAACCCACCAAGTAAGCCAGGAGAACTCCAGCAGCCACTCGCTTCAGAAACTACCTGGAGCCCCAGAGTATATGCTTACACCATCCATCAGGACACTTTAAGCTTCATTTTTGTATTCATGAGGTATAAATTCCTCTCCTCCCGTTACCTAGCATTTGATCTCCTACTTGAGGAAAAACCCTCTTTTAGACTCGGAGCGCCTGTCAGCATGATTGGTAGCAGGCTCAGCCTTACAGCAATTTCCCTAAAATTGACTTCATATCCTTATCCCTTATCCAGCCCCACAGAATTCACTTTGACAAAATGTTGCCAAGAGAGGAAGTCTGCAGGCTAAAATCTGGCACAGACAGCAAAGAGGAGGAAGAGGGAGGAGAGAGGGTGCTCCTTCACACCATCTATGATCACAAAAATATAAGGTCAAACTGAGTGTGGTGATGCTCACCTGTAATCCTGGCACTCGGGAGGCTGAGGCAGGAGGCTGGAGAGATCAAGGTCAGGCTGGTCTACATATTAAGACCCTGTCTCCAAAACCCAACAATGTTACTGTGCCCCTAGGCAAGTGCTTCACCACTTGCTTAAGGGAAGCCTCCATGTAACCCATAGGTCTACCTCTTGATTGCAGGCGGGATCCAGGATCAGGGACAGGAAGGTCTTCAGAAGGCACATGGGGCAGGCATGGAAGGGAAAGGGACTCACCATAGTGTCAAGTCCAAGAGTGAGAAGCATCAGGAAAAAGATGATGGCCCAGAACGGAGAGAGAGGCAGCCTGGTTAAGGCTTCCGGGTAAACCACGAACGCAATGCCGGGCCCTGGAAGAACAGGAGCGACCATGGCGGGCCAGCTCGTAGCCCCTACCCCGGAGCCCTCGAAGGCCACTGTCTGGTTGTCTTTGTCTTTGCTCATCTTTGCCAATTAGACTGTGCTAAGCCCGTGCAGTAAAGAGAGCCCCATTGGTGGGCTGAGGTCTTAGACTCCTGCTTCCGGAGGAATGTGGCCAGCCCAGCCAGCAGCTGTGGTCACTGTCAGCTTCCCTCCAAATAAACCCTTCCACTCTTAAGTTGCTTTTGTTACCGATTTTGTCACAGCAACAAGAAAAGTAGCTGGCCCAGATAACTGCTGAAATGGGGGGGGGGGCAGGGACAAGAGTTTTCCTGAGAACACCACCCACCCGCCATCCCGGTGGGCGTGTCTGAGCCTCGGTTTTCCCAGCTGTCCTAAACTCTGCAGCTGTCCGTGCCTGCCTGGTGGCCATACTGAAACCGCTGCTCGTGAGCACGGCCGAGAGAGCGAAACCGTCGGGGGAGAGCCCAAGGCCAGCGCCTGACTGCGAACCAGACACCCCAGCTCCTGCAGTCTTCTCAGCGTCACTTTGTAAAGACACTTTTCAAAGACTGTTTTTTTAATTTATTTTTGCTTTTTCTGTCTATGAGTGCTGTGCCTGCATGTCTGTTAAATGAACCTGGGTCATGCAACGCCTTGTGAAGGGCCAGGAGAGGGTGACGGATCCCCTGGAACTGGTGGAGTTGCAGGCGGTTGTCAGCAGCCATGTCGGGTGCTGGGAACTGAACCCAGGTCCTCTGCAAGAGCAGTCAGTGCTGCTCTTGAGCCGTCTCTCCAGCCCCCAAATTTTGTCTTTATTTATGTATATGTATGTTAGGATGCATATGTGCATGCAAGTGCCAGCAGACGACAGAAGGCATCAGATCTTCCAGGGTGAATCACCTGATGTGGATATTGGGACTTGAACTCTGTCCTCTGGAAGAGCAGCAGGCTCTCTTAATTGCAAGCCCTCTCTCCAGCCCCCCATAAGAGCACTTTTTTTTTTTTTTTTTTTTTTGGTCTTTTTGAGACAGGGTCTCCCTGTAGCCCAAGCTGCCCTAGAACTCACTATGTAGACCAGGCTGGCCTTGAACTCACAGAGATCCACCTGCCTCTGCCTCCCAAGTGCTGGGATTAAAGGCGTGCGCCACCACGCCCAGCCTAAGATCACTTTTTAAAACTGGAATTTATCAGGTTGTTAGTTCCTAACATTGCATAAAGCCTCAGAGTATTGAAAATATAAAACCTCTAACACCTACAACAACCCCTATCTTACACATTTATTCAACGGACTGTAGAGCCAGCCTCCAAAGGCCCCTTATATGAACCATAAAAGAAAAGTCTATATTAAGCTCCAGTTCAAAATAGCTCTCAGATGCAGACCCAGGAAGCCAGCAGAGTGCTGGGGCAAAGTTAGGTCCAGAAAGCTGCCACAAAGGCCTTAAGTGGCCACTGCTAGAGGCCTTTAATGGGTCTCTCGAATACAATGCCTTCCTTTGGGTGTTACTACTTTGGAGAGGGGTCAATTCAAAATAGTACGCCTCCCCAAACTCAAGGGAAAGCTGTGTTTTCCAGCTACATTAGATCAAATGCCACTTACCCAAGGTGTCTAGGGAATGGTGCTACCTCTTGAACTAACAAATATTATTGAATACTTGAAGAGTGTCTGGCCTATCTGAGGAAGGCTGAGTCCTGTCCCCTCCTGTCTCACCAGGAGGCAAAGGCAGACCCTCAGACACTGTCTCTTCCTGGCTGTGGGGTGACAGGTGAGCCACTACTCCCTCTCCACAAACTTTCATTTCCTTATTCGGGCAGGAGAGATAACAGGACGTACCCTCACGGCATTCTGGAAGCACTACAAGTAAAGGGCTTAGAACACAGTGGGAGCTCAGTAGACACCGTCCGTTATTTCTCTTCCCGTGAAAGGAGATCAGCAAGGTTCCGCATGTCAACAGCATGCTGCAGACAGGCCCCCAGAGATGCTGTGGTGAGAACCAGTTTGTCCTAGAATGTCACTACCAACGTAGTGAAGGGCTCTGGCCAAGTCAGTGCATGGCGACCTGCAGCCCAGCTCAGGTGAGCACTGTGCTATGATACCCATCTCAAGTACAAGGAGTTCTCTGAGGATGCACATTTGTACTCCTGTGCCTTTGGGCAGAAAGGTTGGGGCTGAGGGGGTAGATAGATGGTTGGCTGGAGGAGGGGTCACTCCGGTTTGAGGGTGTTTGTTTTCATCAGCAGGGTCTCTGAACTATTAGGGACGAGGGAAGAAAATCCCCCTTCCTAGTCTGGATAACTGAGAGTTACCAACCAATGCCTGGAAACTCAAAACAAAATGCATTTAGGGGCCTGAGGAGATGGCTCAGAGGGTAAAGTATTTGCACATGTGTGGGGAACTGAGCTTGGATCCCCAACATCTTTGTAAATAAATGCCAGGTGGGCGTTGCAGCCAATCTGTAATCCCAGTGCTCAGGGGGCAGAAACAGGATCACCGCGTCAAGCTGGCTAACTAGACCAGTCAAAGCAGCAAGGTCTTGGTTTGGTCTTGGTCCTCAGTGGACAAGGTGGCGAACAATTGAGGAAGAGTAGGACATCAACTTCTGGCGTCCTCACGTGCAGGCACACATGCAAACATGTGCATATACACACATACCACACATACAGAAGAAAAAACGCAGTCGCACTTGTCTGCCCCAGCAAATCCAGTTCTTTTCTGGGGCTGCATCTTTGTGGGGATTCAGGGTAGACCCTGAAAGGAAACCACTACTGCATCAGCAGCCATGCGGACGTAGAGACGGCTTTCGGCAGCCTGACTGCCCTGGAAGCTGCTTCTCTTGGGGACCCTAAGAGGGGTGCACCCCCTTCCCTGGGGGCTGTCATGAAAACAGGGGACAGCAGGTCTTGTCCCCGCTGCTACACTCAGCGCCTCCTCCAAAGTTCCAAAATGTTGAGATCTGGGGTGATAATTTTGACAGAAATACTTCACTGAGAAGGCAGTGGTAGATGAAACCCATCAGCAGTAGATATTCAAGGAGACACTCTTTCTAATTAACCATCAAAACGCAGTGGCCAATGTTGCATCAGCAAAACCGTCCTCTGTGTCTATATACTAAAAATACCAGCTAGGCTGGAGGGAGGCTGACTCCAAATATCTGACCAGCATCCTGCAGAGCCTTCTTCGAGTCGGGGGAAATAGGTTTATGAATCACAGGAAAGAATATGTGCCAGTTCTCCAAGAGGTCTGGCAGCAATCTCCTGACTCACTGCTGCCACTCCTGAGGAACGAGTCCCACTGTCCCTGTGCCTTAGACCAATTATTACAACGCACTGTGTTAGAACACGTTATACATGTTATTTTCCCTGTTAAGATGGAGAAAATGAAAAGCTACAGGATAAGGGAATTTCAGAATTACTGGAAATTTTCTGCTGCTTTTCATAAATTCTGTGAGTCTTGGTAGCATCTGCCCTTTCCCAAAGCCTTTGCTAGGGCAGGAAAGAACGCAGAGTAGCCTAGCTGTCACCAATTACTATTTCAGGCAGCTCAGCCACTGGTTCCAAACAAGATAGGTAGACACACACACACACACACACACACACACACACACACACACACAAATAGCAAATTGGCTCTGAGCTGCAAGAAAGTGGGGTGGAAGTGTTCTGCCTCAGTGAGTGCTGGGAAGAATCAAGGTTACAGGACAGCTGTGGGTGGCTCAGGCCGGGGATGAAGCCTTCTCCATTTTCCACCTTCTCACAGGCTGTCGGAGAATTTTCAACCAGGAGAAAGCCCTACCCAGTTCACTGACACAGAACCAAATATCCCTGAAGGCTCACACTCTCTCCAGAGAGAGATAATGACACCCCTGGACCATGTAGCTCTTAACTCTTTAAGGCCCTATCAGCACAAGCAGGAACAGTCGCTAATTATCCCCGAGCAGCCAGAAGAGACCAGTCAGCCTGCCAGAAAGGTGACGTTTCTAGAGCTTGGTTCTCCCACATGCTTGCTTCTGACAACCACAAAGAACCCTTGAAGGACGTCTGCCCAGACAAGCCTCCCCCCTCTGGAGCGTCTGAGGCCCATGCACGTCCCTCTACACCTGTCATAGTCCCCACACTCTGAAGTATCCCCCACATGCCTGGTCAGAGAGTCAGACCAGAGCGACAAGCAAGAGCTGTGATTAAGGCCCCCAATCAGGAAAATCTCGTGATTCCCTGATCCCCTGTAGAATCAGGCAGGACGGACCTCAAATGTTAACAAAAACCTTAAATGTCCCAGAAATATGGATTCAATGATAAAAGGAAAGCTCCTTAAAAGCACTATCCAAATGTTAGCATCACTTGAATGAGGTACAAACATTTATTCTGTACTCTCCCCTGCCACACCCCCGACCCCACCTAACCTTTCCACTCACTGGGGGGAGGGGTGTGCAATGCTAACTAGGCAGAAGGTCTAACAAGAAAGTGCTTTGTAAGGACAAGGCCCCCAAAGTCGGAGCTCATTAAACATCAGCATTCAGTCTCCAAATGCTGCCGTCTACAGCAGGTACCAGCAGAAGCTCCAGACTCCGGCAGCCTAGTGAATCCCCTGCTCATGCTGAGCACATGTACCAGGTACAGCCCCGACCAACACAGGCTGGAGCAGGATCGAGAGACCAAGGAAGGCTAAAGGGAAGACAGAGGAGAGGGAACCAGGCCTTGAAGCAGTCCCTCTAGTAGACAGCCTGGTTGACTGGCCTGACTGACAGGGACTGTTTTAAGGCCTGTGTCCGTTGCTCTGTCAAGAACATTCGAGCACCCCCATCATCTACCTGTCCAAGTTCCTGGCACAGCACAAATCAGGGGCCTGTAAGGCAAGCCAGGGACCTGCCCTTCAGCCACAGGGTGACAACAGCCCCATACCTTGGTCGGCCACGTTCTCAATGTTGACTTTGCGTTCGTTGGCCATGAAGCCGATGACGGAGAAGATGACGAAGCCGGCAAAGATGCTCGTGGCACTGTTGGTGCAGGTCACAATGAGGGTGTCCCTGGAAGGAAGAGGCCAGAGTGTGGCTCAGGCGTGCTCGTGAGGGGGAGGGACAGGGGACGGACAGATGGACGCTGTGTATTCGGGCACACGTGTCCCCCGAGGAAAAAAGCAAGCAGGTGAGAACACGGGTACTTTACTGATCTGAACTGCACTGAAAGGCTCAGAAAGACTTTCCCTAATAGCCTCACCGATGTCTTCTGGGGCAAAGGTCTGGCTCCTCGTACTCAGACTGTGATCTCAACCCATCCACTGAATGCTCAGGTTTCCCCAGAATTTGTATGTCAGAGGATTACAAGCTGAGGCTTGGAAGAATGGTTATGTCTCATGATTAGAACAGATGCCCTCAGGAAATGGACTGTACATGTGTGCTGCCCCAATGCCCACCAGGGCGGGGCACGGCAACAAGGCTCCATCTGGAGCTGAGGGCAAGACAGTGCCAACACTGACTAACCTTGGACTTCCCGGTCTCCATAACTGTGAGCAATATATTTCTGCTGTGTATAATGTATTTTGTAATAAGGCTAAATTGCCTGATACATCACCTTGGGGGACAATCCAGCCATTGCAGCAGAGACAGAGGGGCTAAGACCTTGGGGAACTGTGAGACAGGAACCCAATGTAAGGGAAGAGAAGGCTGTGGGAAAGTGAAATGACTCCAAGACATGAGGCAGCCTGGGCTAGGGCGCACGGACTGAGGAGAAGGGGAAGAGGCGAGAGACTGTGTCTCTGCCTTCATCCCAGAGCCGTCGGCTCAGAGCGCAGCCATGACGTCGAGCAGCTCGCGCCTTTCCACTCTGCTCTGAGGTGGTGGCAGCGACCTCACCTCTCTCTTAGGGTGTGGTCTGATGGAACGAGAGGGTGCCCATAGTTCACTCTGCCTGGCACAGAGCAAGCGCGCGGAAAACACCTGTCTTGCCCGACGCCTTGGCTCATTGGTGAGGAAGCTGAGGCAAAGGAGGGTCGTGGACTAGTTAACGGTGGGTCGGGATGTGATTCTGCTCTTTCGCACAGACGCGGTGCTTTCTGCCAAGCCACAGGCAGCCTCAGTTCTAGCGCAGCGCACAGCGATGCTTCGCCTTTGATAGTGTGCAGACTAGTGGGCCTTGGCGGGTGCTGAACGGCGAGAACCAGGTGCTGAACAGCATGACCAAAGTAGTTCAAATGCCCGAGTCCAGCACCTGTCCTTCAAAGATGTCGTGGGCTGAACTGTGTGTCCCAAGTCTGGCACCTTGAACCTGAACTTCCCTGTATCTACCTCAACCCTGTAAAAAATCTTCTAGTCCCCAGTCTCAGTGAGTGGAAAGAGGGTCTTCAGAGTAAGTTAGAATAAGGCCATTAGGGGCTGGAGGGATGGCTCAGCGGTTAAGAGCACTGGCTGGTCTTGCAGAGGACCCAGGTTCGGTTCCCACCACCCACATGGTGGCTAACAACCATCTGTAACTCCAGTTCCAGGGGATCCAACACCCTCTTCTGACCTCCACAGGCACTGCACAACATGGATGCCCTACATACATACAGGCAAAACACTCATACTCATAAAATAAACAAATAAAACTTAAATGAAGGCATTACTTTGTATCCAATCTGGCTGCTGTCATCATAAAAAGCGGAGACCGAGACATGAGGAGACCAAAAGACCATGTCGTGAGGACCTTAGAAGACAGCTCCCTACAAACCAAGGCAGAGGCCTCAAAGAAACCAACTCTGGGGGCTGGAGGGATGGCTCAGCAGTTCAGAGAGCAAACTGCTCTTGCAGAGGACTCAAGGTGGATACCCAACACCCATGTTGGGTATCTCACGACCACCTGTAACTCCAACTCCAGGAGATCCTCTTCTAGATTCCACAGGCACCTGCATTCACACTTGCACAGACACACACACACACACACACACACAATTAAAAATAAAAATAATTTTTTTCAGAGAGAGGGAAGGAAGGAAGGAAGGAAGGAAGGAAGGAAGGAATTCTAGCCTGAACTGAATGGTGAAGTGCTGAGCTGTGCTGGCTTAAGCTTCCCAGGCCGTGGTCTTTGCTCTGGAAGCCCTAATGGCCTCGTCTGAAGATTCTCTCCTAGCTTCGGCTGCCTCTGGAGGCCCCAGTTCCCTGCCCTGTGCACATGTCTGCTGTGATCCCTCCACACACCGACCTCACTCATTCATCTCCTCTTCAGCAGCTTCAACCACCAGAAGCACCCCCCCCCTCTGCACCTGCTGAGGCCCTGTGAGTCTCACCTCATGACTGCCCAGGGTCCAAGCTTTTCCTCTAGCTTTGGAGAAATTTGAGGAGAGCTTGGCCCTCCATCAACATTCTTACAATTCTAAGTGAAACATGCCTCCCGCAGTGGCTCCTGTGGGCTAATCACCCATCTAAGCATAGCCCTGAGCTCACCATACATGGTTGCTAGGATGCTTTATATGTGACATAAAATAAAGGAGCCATAGCTACCCTAAAAACAGGAGCAGGACTGCCCACTCCCTGGCCAAGTGACTAGCCTCTGTAAGGCCAAGGGCATCCCTCTCCTACTGTGACCACTCACATAGACTGTCATCATCCTTTACTCCCTGAGGGATGCGGTGATGTCCTTGGGATACTAAGTCTGGGAGCCAGACATCTCCAGGGCCCGGCTACTGGACCCAGGAGGACATTTTCTGTCTTGTTTGAAAACCAAGTAAACTTATATTCAATACAAGTTTCTCGTGAGCGCCACAAAGCGAACCTAAAGCGTCACCCGATGGTCTTCACTTAGGTACCGAGGACACAGCTGTGTTTGGAATCTTTCTTTTCGTTCTTGGTTCACAGAGAGACTTGTATGGAGCTGAGGAGATGGTTCAGTGGGTAGTGCTTGTTGTGTGAGCCTGATGACCTGTGCTGTCTTCCCAGAACCCACAAACGAACAGGTGGGAGGGGAGAACCAACTGCACTGTCCCCTGACCGCCACACATATGCATGGCACATGCGTGCACACACACACACACACACACACACACGTCATATACACATATATACACAGACACATATACAATCATAATAAAATTTTTTGGAAAAAAATTTTAAAGCTCATACATCTTTTTTCTTAATAATAGCAGTAACAATAATGGTAGCAGCTGTTGCCACTTACTGAGTACCTACTATGTGCAAAATACTGCCCTGGTAACTTTGCATGTACCATCACTTACCTCTCAACAAAATACTACATTCTGTGTTCTATAGATGATAAATCAGATGCCCAAAAGGGGTCATGGTCCTGCCTATGCCTTGCAGTTTTAGTACATGGCAAAGCCATCCCCAAATGCCCTCTGAATCCATACCACTCCTTGGTACCGTGTTGTCTTTCCTATGGACTCCCTAGGAAAGAATTTTCTAAGTGATCGATGACCCCACTCCACACATGACTGCTCTATGATTGTATCCATGAACTACCACAGCATGCAGCTGACTACAGTGACCTCTCAAGGGACTCGCTGCTTCCTGTAAATAGCCACTGAGTCCCCCTCCTCAGTGTCCTGGTCAGTAGGATCAGCCTCGGTCCAGGATTTAGTAACCAGGCCTCGGCAGGTAGTTCTTTGTGAGCTAGAGGCCAGTGGCTGGCTCCTCCTTAGCAGCCTGCTGCCTGGCCCACTTCTTCCGAATCCTGGCCACATACACCTACAGGTACGCACCTGCATAGTGCACACACACCCACGTTCATATCCTGCATGGCTCACATACACCTACGCTCCCCTGCATACCTGTAGCAGTTGTTGTGGAATTTGTTGTAAGAAGAAAGAGTGATGAGCCCTCCCCAGGCGGCAGAGAGAGAGAAGAAAATCTGAGTAGCTGCATCCTTCCACACCTGGGAAGGAGAAGGGGGGATAGTCAGGTCACTGAGAGGCCAAGCTCTAGGCCGTGTCACCTTCCTAAGTAAAGTGAAGGCAGTCAGGCACAAGAAAGCTTTGAGCCCCCACACAAATGAAACTGTGCCTCCACTGTGCCTGGAGCCAAAGCAGGAATTACCTGGGAGAGTTTATTTCTTCTAATCAAAATAAGGACCACAGTCAACAATCCACAGACTCATGCTCACATGCCCCACCACATAAAAACGGGTGGAACAGGGCAGCCCTCTCATGAAGTGCTTACACACCCAAAGAACAATCTATACCAGTAAAACACAGTCATGGTCACAAATAAAGATCCCTTTTTCAATGATAGCCCTATGGGTTATGACAACTGCTATTCAAAATTTGAAAGTCCATGGCAACTAATCTTAACAGAGCAGCCACAGGAGGCACCGCTTGCCTCCCCCGGGCATGCTCATAAAGCTCCAGGTCACTCAGCCTTTGAGCTATAGGCACACATGGTACTCACAACAGACTGCCCAACTTTATTAAAGTCTTGTCCTTAAAACAGACTTAGGGCTGGTCATGGTGGCATACCTCTTTAATCCCAGCACTCAGGAGGTAGAGGCAGGTGGATCTCCATGAGTTTGAGGCCAGCCTGGTCTACATAGCAAGTTCCAGGCCAGCCAGGGCTATTGAGACCCACTCTCAAAAACAAAATTGTACTTAAGGGGACAGGGTCGGGGGGTGCGGTGGGTAAAAGCACCTGCCACCAAGTCCAATGATTTGAATTTGATCCCCAGGACCCACACGATAGAATGAGAGAACCAAGCTTGAAGGGTTTCCTCTGATCCCAACACATGCACACGTGAAAAATAAATTAAAAACTTCCATTGTGCTTGAAATAATGCAAAAGTAAAGTTCAAGTGTGTGACTGGCAAAGTCTGTGCCCCTCCCCCTCAGAGCCCATGCTCCCTTCTCCTCTTAGAAACAAAGCTATGATCGGTTCAAAGGCCATCCAGAGTCCAGCTTCTCCACTGGGAAGGCGCAGCTAGGCAATGATGGTAACCACGGCCCTTAGTGTCTGGGAAGCCGATGTGATGTCTGGTGCGCTGACAGCTCTAGGGACACTATTCACAAAGGATGTTGGGGTGGAAAGATCCGAGCCTGGGTCCCTGATGACATCACAGAGCCACTGAACTGGTCCTTGACTAGTTACTATAAGGGTGGAATACACTACTATATTGCTTAGGCTGGCTTTATCTGGAAAGGCTGTGTTATGTACAGCCAAACTCAGTCCTAGTCATACGTTCTTGGCGTACCCTGGAAAAGCAGAGCTTTCACTAAGGTGAGGGAACATCTCTCTCATTACACAATCACTCTTCATCTGGAGGCTGCTGTGAATTTTAGAGTGTGGTGTGCCTATACCCGACACACACAAAGAAAGTTTGTGTGTGTGCTGGTCCCATGTCAGTGTGCAGGTCGGTCCCCTATCAGTGCTCAGGAAGGTTTCAAATGGGTCTGAGGCCTTTAAAAGGACAGAATTGCTCGTGCTGTTATTTTCCAGTCACGCTCTACTTCCAGCATGCTACAATTAGTAACAAGCATGCGGTGTGATGTGGCCTAAAGCTGTGGAAGCATTGCTGTCTTCATACAGCTCGCAATGTGACTCCCACTACCTGGGAATCTGAGGACCCTCAGCTACCCACTCATCGTGAACTGGGTCCTGAGGGCCGAGCGCACAACATCACCCAGACCCAAAGAAGCAGGCAGCAGGATTCCCTGGGGTGTGGGGGAGGGCTCTGCATCCCAGAGTATGGCCCACCCTGAGGATGCCCCTCCCTCCATTGTAGACAGAAAATGAGCCCACCGTGGCATCCGTGAGTTTCTCCCACTTAGGTGTGATGAAGTACCAGATGCCGGCTCCAGCCCCAGGCAGGGTGACGCCTCTGATGAGGAGGATGACCAGCACGACATACGGGAAGGTAGCTGTGAAGTATACCACCTAGAGGAGCCAAGGACAGAGGGGTGAGCACGCAGGAGACATGCTCCCCAAACAGACCTGCCCCCCAGACCGACCCGTCCTGCAGAAAGCATCCTCAGGGTGACAGGTGAGGGAGGTCCCCCAGCTCTGCCAGCACGGGGGATCCAGGGAAGGCACTGGGACCACGGTCAGATGGAGGCAACTAGGGGATACTTTCTTTCCTTACCTGTCAGCCAAGCCTCAGGGTGAAGGAAGGGTTTAGGACCTGTACTCGGTAGATCGGAAAGTCAGAGAGGGACAGAAATAAAACCTCCAGGGGGAGACTCAAGGCTCTGGGGCGAAACACAGACAGGAGGCAGGAGACTGGGGAGGTGTCACCCTGCCCTGTCACAGAGTGCACAGCTGCCTGGGAGCCACAGGGTGGGGCTTTGTGCTACGTTCCCCAAAGCTCCCACCCAACCCTCTGCTGGAGGCCCCAAATTTCAACATCAAAGACAAATCCTTTCTGCTTCCGCCTTCCACCTTTCCTTACACACCTTTAATGGAGCAGCCTCACCAGGTCAAAAGCCAAGATTCTAAAAGTAAACATACTTCTGCTTAAACAAAATCAAACATCTGGAGCCAAGCTGTGACCTTGGCGGGCACTTAAGCCTCTGAACCTCAGTTTCTGAGCCTGTAATGTGGGGACAGAAGCTTATGTCCTAGAAACAATCCTGAGGGTAAACGCCGGAGGGTCACTGAATAAGGCCACATCCCACAGGCCTTCATGGAGGACTTCCTGTTTGCTGGCTGTACGGGGCGGAGGGGGGGGACCACTCACAGTGGAGAAGACAATGTCTGAACACACAGGAGCCTGGACACCAGGGAAGGCCGCGTGCCCAGCCTGGGAGTGGCTAAATGAGGTGGGACGGTGAAGGGAAAGCGTGGGAAAGCAGGCTGGTAAGAGTAGTGGGCTATCCAGCCACCGCCAGGGAGGGCAGAGAACCAAGGCCAAGGTGGAGAGAGGGGTGGCCGGAGAGTCTAGAGGAGGTCACAGCACAGGAGGCCCTAACAGCTGGTCGCCTCTCTGCTTCTTCTCTCCACGCTATGGCGCTGACCAAGACGTCTCTTCTCCCCTCTGGTTCCAAAGAATATATGCCCTGTGCTAGGGGTGGGGCCATCAGTCGGCCCCTCCTACATCTGCAAACCTGCTCTTTCCTTCTTGAAGTCTGAAGTGGAAGTGAAGTGAAGGACTACACAGGCATTCCAAAACCCCCAGACACATCAGGAGAAAAATCACCACACCCCAGACTGGCCTCCCAACCGTGAGACAGGGCTGGGGAGGAGACGGTACAGGCACACTGGGTCGTGACCAGGCTCAGCGCCCACCCCCACCACTGGGAAAAGGAACGACTGTCGGACCCGGGGCTGATAGCAAGGGAAGACTACAAAGGAAGGAAACGGAGGAGAGGCGACGGTCTGGACCACAAGGGCCTGCAGCGCCAAGAGCGCCAAGACTCCCATCTCCCACTTGGCACCAAACTAACTAGCTAAGCCAGCTGATCCCATGTGGCTGCTGGTGACTGTCTGGACTCTAGTGAGCACCTGCTAGTGAGCATCTCTTTAAATTCTCACCTCACCTGCCTTGTGTTACCCTGGCCTGGCAGTGTCCCTTTGCAAACAGTGTTCTTGGTGAACTGAAAGGGTGAGGGTTTGGCTTACAGGTCCTGAGGATGGCTCAGCTGTGAGTGAGGAGCACCTGAGACTTTCTGCGGGCTGCTTCCCAGGGTCAGGAGGGCTTCAAAACGCACCTGCTTTGGATGGACTGTCAGAGGACTCAAACAGTAATGGATTATGCATGGCAGGAGGGACAGTGACTGGTTGGCCTTACACCTGAGGCCACCTCCTCACAGCAGGAGCCCCTCATGGGCAGCATGGCACCACCAGCCTGCGCAGCTAATTAGGTTACTTTGCCCGGTCGTCAGCACTTTCAGGCAGAGCAGCACCCCGAGGCCAGGTGGGCAGTGCGTGACCTTCAGGCCCCCCCATGCTGCTACTGATCACCCCACCAGTGGAGTTCTAGCAGCTCAAAGCCCTGTCTTCCAAAGAGCAAGGGGCATTTTTGTTCCCTCTGGTCCTGCATGAGAGGAACTAAGCTCTCCCACTGCAGAAAGGAGAGCTGTGTTGGACAGCACAGTGCTGGTGAAAGTCCCATCACGAAGCAGTCAGTCTCAAAGATGCGCCTCGGTCCTGTATTCACCCTGGCTCTCGAATGACTACCTTTGATTTATGTCAGTGCAGCCCAGGGCAGGAAAAGAAATTATGATTCATTGTTTCTGGTGGTGATCTTCATTTTAAGAAGAAAAAAATGCTCATTGAGTTTGGTTGGAAACCTTAGTGAAGCCAGATTAAACTAGCAAGTGTCAAAGGTGATCCTCCATACTCTTTAAACTTCCTATTCCTCAAAGCCCACAAAATCCAGCACCAAATATTAAATTCTAAACTCTTGGAAGAGCTAGCTATAACTCTATCCCAGCAAGACTCAGATGAATGAAGCTTAAAAGAATCTACAGAACAGTTTCTCTATCCCTGAAATTTCGCAAATGAGTGAAATGAGGCCCTGATGCATCCTGGGACTTTCCCAAAGTTACAAGGCTAGATACAGCTGAGAGGGGGTAGGAGGGCAAGCATCCTGACCCTTCACTCGAATGGAGCCTCACAGTTCTCATTTCCTATCCATTCCTAACAGCAAAAGGAAGAGACAGTCATGTAGACTCTAGGATTTACAGTGAGCTAAACCTGGGTTCAAATCCCACTACTGCACTTACAAGCTGTGTGACACCAGGTAGCCTGCTCTTGCTTGATGGGGCCCAGCCTCCTGGATGACACAGGGGGAATCAATGGACCCACTCAGCAGGGGAAACTGATGAACTAACGTGTTGCCGCCATGGCACAGAGCATTCCATGAGCCTCCCAGCAGACGTTCTCATGTGTGTTCTTATTCCTATGGCAATCCTAAAGATATGTACTATCATCCCCAGACTGCATGCAGATCAGGAAATGGTTCCCAAGTTTAAGTAGCTTGTCTAGTCACACGACTAGAAAGTGATGGAGCCAGGGTCCAACCAGATTGGCCTGATTCTGGTCACACAGGCTATCCTTCCTCATGTCGCTGAGAAGACTGCTGTTCTCAGCCCCTCCTCTGTCATAGCTCCTGCCTAGTCACCTCTGCAGCCTCTCCACTGGACCCTGCTTAGGGCAAGTTGTCTCCCTCTCCAGCTGTAAAGAGCAGTCTTGCCTATAGGATTTTGGCTGAGCCAACACTTGACTGGTTGTACTAGGTAGTCTCCTGAAAGATGGAGCTCCCACCCCAGCTCAGGCCCAGACCATGGTAGGCAAGAACATCAGGAAGCCATGGGCCACACTGGGGGTGTAAGGCCCCTTTAATATGTACCACCATCTCCCTACAGCCCCCAGTACTCATTCTGAGCCAGCGTGGTCTTCAGGAGTCAACCCCAACTTTCATTTTACAGATGGGGAAACTGGTCTTAGAAGGTACATGTGCTGTGGTAGCTCCTTCTGCCAGTGCTCAGACAGAGCAGTGCTGGAACTGGAGGCCTCGGACGTCACCTGGTACAATGTCCTTCACCTTCAAATCCTGAAATAGCTAAGACGGGAACACTGGCTTTCCATTTATTGGGGGGGGGGAGACTAAGTAAAAATTAAGACTGAATCAAAAGTTCTGCCAGTTCATGATTAGGTGTAAATATCCACATACAGCAAACACCTTGAGAAGTCCCCACGGAGGTCTTGAGTTCAAGGCCAGCCTGGATTATGTAGCATGACCCTATCTCAAAGGAGGAGGAGGAGGAGGAGGAGGAGGAGGAG